TATTTTGGTCGGCGGCAAGAAACACTAATTCAACATGACGGACGGAGCGAGAAAGCACGTAAAGGGTATTGATCCCAGTTATTTATCCACTCTAACGGCAGAGGACCCAAGACCATTTGACCAGAAATTGGTCATAAGCATCGACGGAGCCAAATCACCCTTATCAACCCCGACAAAAGGTGGACCAAACCAAATTTCTGGTCAGAATCGCCAACTACCTGGACAAATATTCACTTGGGCGATATCCACAATGACTTGGTGGAAACTCCTGGGCCATTCACAGCAGAAAAGATGAAAACCTCCAAGAGTCTCGATGTGTTGTTGAACTTGTTGGAGTCCACGGTTTGTTAGGATCTTCTACGTTTGCTCTGCGAATGTTTGAAAGCCGTTTAATTTGCAGTTAGCGGTTCTTTTCACTCGGAATATGAAAAAGACATTTTCCTTCTTCCGTGCTTCTATTTGTGCATCTGATAATGCAGCAGAAGTTTACCATTATCGGGGAGAAATACGCGAGGTGTTTGACCGCTATCGTGTTTCTTGCCTCTGGCAAAAATATTTCCCAGCATGCAACGCAGGCTTTTAATAACAATGACATCAGCTGAAACTCGCCTATAAAGAAACAGCTGCACGACACTACACTAGCATGCTAACAGTGCACTTCCTGATTCTTAGACAATAACATTTTTGGTAGTTAGATGTCAGACAGGAAAAAAAAAAAGAAAAGAAAATGGGTACAGAACTTTTAAATTAGCTTTTTAAGTTCTTTTTCTTTAAATAAATAAATACATTAATCAAATATATTGTTTTTAAATAAGACGTAAACAAAGAGAATTCTGAGCAAGACCTCATCAGACCTTTTAAATGACAATCTAAATTTCCATTATATTAATATTATATAGAAATATTATTAGCTTCACAGCCAAATGTTCCCATGACAACACAATTGATTACACTTTAATAACACGATTGTATTGAATCAACTGGCCGTAAATGAGCCGTGTCTGTCTGCGTTCCTCCATGGACCACTTCTATCCTCTGAATGTACACTAGCTTTGTCGCTAATGCCTTTTTAATCTAACGGCATTATGCTAACAGCCATGCTAGCGGATCAGCGCTAGCATACGCGCGGCACTGTAAACGCTTTGGAAAACATATTTACAGCCCCGGCAGGTGCAATATCTCTGCAGCCTGCCAAATGGACTTTGGTCATATTTTAATTTGAGTCATTTTTCTAATTGTAATTGTAGAAGTTGTAGTTGTAGATATAGTTTTATTTCAATTTTGTTTTCAGTGGTTCGAAGTTATTCCACACTATGAGTTTTTCCCAACTTTCAGAGAGCAAAGAGAATTTTTGCAGAATTTTTTCATCGGAACAGTGTGGGGTCGGATCATAGACTGTATAAAAGGAAGTGGACGAAGGGAGTGTGACGTCACCCAGAGTGTTCAGCACTGCTCAAATGAAGCTCGCGATGCTCACGGTTACAGGAGCGAATCTGGAGCTGGACAAAATGGCAAAAAAAAAAAAATTCAACATCATGTAGAGCGAGTTAATACAAACATTTTACACTCAAAATGACGAGGTTCACAGCAGCAGTTACAGAGAGAGGGGACGACAAGATCCTAATGTAAGTCCATTGGAGTCAGGGTCAAAAGGAGCCGGAAGAGCCTCCTGATGAACTTATGCATTAGTTATGTCCACTCATATACATGGTCTATGGGCCGGACACAGTCACACAGGTGTTTGAAAGACTCGCAGCATCACAACATTTATCACACAGTCCATTATTATTGTCGTTTTAAAGAGTTTTAGTGCTATAGCGCCGTGTTAATGAGAACCTCACACTTTCTGTCTGTGACTCTGTCCCTCTTCCTCTTCCTCATGAGCTGAGAACAGGAACAGACAGGACAGGCTGTTGCTGCTGCTGCTGCTGCTGCATCTGCCTGTTTTCTACACTAGAGCTGTTCACTGCACACCGGTGGCCCACTGGAAGGCTTCATTTCATTCACATTTGCGTTTATAGGAAAAGACGCTCACAGGCGACAGCGTGAGTTGCGGTGCTACATTGGCTTCTTTCAAAACTTTATCTGAGACATCTGTAGACTTCTCATCTGAACAGCAAAATGCTCCAAGACCCCTTTAAACCAAGTCCACAAGTCCACGCTGTGGCATTCGCCCACTGATCTGAAGGTTGGCGGTTCGAATCCAGCTCTTGACATAAACATCACAGGTTGAGCGGTCAGATCCACTGACCCACAGGTTGGCTGGTGTGATTCCAGCTCCCACAGATGAATGCTGCCGTTGTGTCCTTGGGCAAGACACTTAACCCACCTTGCCCACAGTGTCTGCGTACACTGGTGTGTGAATGGGTGAGTGGTTCCTTGTTGTAAAGCGCTTTGAGTGCCTTGAAGGTGGAAAAGCGCTATAGAAAAATGTGACCATTTACCATTTACCATGTATCGGTTACAGGAGCACATATCCAAGTGTCCTGGGTCGCATTTGAAAAAATCGGATCTGTGTTGTTCAGATCAGGTCATTAAAGATCAGATACAGGTCACATAGGGGCCAAAAAATCAGATTTGGGTCACTTCAGGCTGCTTCTGAACGCAGCCTAAGTGAGTTTGACGTCACCCACAGTCTTCAGATCCAGCCAAATGAGACTCATCGTGGCTTGCGGTCGACCTTGTTGTTTGAAGATTTGGTGATGAGGCCGATTTATGAAGCTGGTGGACAATACGCCAGATATTTTACCACAGAAAACCATTAACGGGAAGTTCGTTAAACCTTACTGGACGGGATTTCAGGCCATTGTGAAAAACGTCGTTCCAAAACACCTCACGTGATAAAAACTAAACGTATAGAAACACTGAACTCAGATTTAGATTGATCTTTCTTTTTGTTCGCTCGCACACGCCTCCTTTAACCCTCTCCTCCGCCGCACGCCTCTCATCGATTGGCTAATCCCCCCTGATTACATCGTCACGGCGCGGCGGGGGAAGGGGCGGGGTTAATGAGGGATAGCCCGTGGAACTGTGGGAAATGATAACAAATTAACATTTCAGATACGGAATTGGCCGTCATAAATCACCATCGCGAACTGGATGCGCCGCCTAATGCCGAGCTTATTCATCATTTCGCCGGGGCCCGTGATGGGGGGGACTCGGCGAGCGCGAGGCTGCCGTGGTAATTAACGCGGCGGATGTAATAGATTCGTTACGTAGAGGGATCGGCGGAGAATCGGGAAAGAGTTTTGTCGAAAGTCGGACGGGAATGAGGAGTTTGGATGACTAAGCGAAACAGCTGAGACAGAGAGAAAGAGGGATGAGAGAGAAAAAAGGGGGAGAGAAAGATTGATGTATAGAGAGAAAGATAGAGAATATATAGTTATTAGAGAGAGAGAAAGACGGATGGAGAGTGAGAGCAAAGAAGGGAGAGAAACGGAATATAGAGGGAGTGAGAAAGGGAGAGAAAGATAAAGAGATGGACAGGAAGATGGGTGGGGAGACACCAAGAAAAAAGAAAGAAGGAGAGTGGGAGAGAGAGTGAAAAACAGGGAGAGATGAAAGAGAAAGAGGGAAAAGTAGAGAGTAATGTATATAGAGAAAAAAAGAGTAACGGGAAGAGAGAGAGAGAGGGACAGAAAGAGAGAGAAATACAGATAGAGAGAGTGAGAGAGATACATAAACAGAAAAAGAGAGTAACAGGCAGAGAGAGCAAAAGAGGGACACAGAGAGAGCGAGAGAGAAAAAGATATATATATATATATATATATATATAGAGAGAGAGAGAGAGAAAGAGGGACACAGAGAGAGCAGGAGAGAAATAGAGATAGAGTGAGAGACATATATAGAGAAAAGGAGAGAGTGACGGGCAGAGAGAGAAAGAGGGACACAGAGAGAGAGAGAGAGACAGAGAGAGACAGAGAGAAGCAGAAATGGAGAGAGTAACAAACAGCGAGAGAAAGAGGGACACAGAGAGAGAGAGAGAGAGACAGAGAGAGGCAGAAACGGAGAGAGTAACAAGCAGAGAGAGCGACAGAAATAGAGATAGAGCGAGTGAGAGAGATACATAGAAGGAAAAAGAGAATAACAGCCAGAGAGAGCGAGAGAAATAGAGAAAGTGAAAGAGATACATAGAGAGGCAAAGAGAGAGAAAGTGGGATAGAGAGAGATACAAACAAAAAAGGAGAGAGTAACAAGCAGAGAGAGCGACAGAAATAGAGATAGAGTGAGTGAGACAGATACATAGAAGGAAAAAGAGAATAACAGCCAGAGAGAGCGAGAGAAATAGAGAAAGTGAAAGAGATACATAGTGAGAAATAGAGAGGCAAAGAGAGAGAAAGTGGGATAGAGAGAGAGAGACAAACAAAAAAGGAGAGAGTAACAGGCAGAGAGAGAGAAGAAAAGGAGAGAGTAACAGACACACAGAGAGAGAGAGAGAGACAGAAAAAGGAGAGAGTAACAGGTAGACAGAGAGACAGAGACAGAGAGAAAGCATGAGAGATACTGTATATAGGCAGAGAAGGAGCAATGAACAGTCAGAGAGAGAGAGAGAGTGAAAGAGATACATAGCAAGAAAAAGAGAGAGTAACAGGCAGAGAGAAAGAAAGAGGGACAGAAAGAGAGAGAGAAAGATAGAGAGTGAAAGAGATACATAGAGAAAAAAGAGTAACAAGCTGAGAGAGAGAAATAGAGAAAGAGAGAGGGAGAGGGATGCATAGAGAGAAAAAGAGAGAGCAACAGGCAGAGAGAGAGAAAGAGGGACACAGAGAGAAATGGGGATAGAGAGTGAAAGAGATACATAGCAAGAAAGAGTAAAAAGAGCAACAGGCAGAGAGAAAGAAAGAGGGAGAGAAAGAGAGAGGGAGAGGGATGCACAGAGAGAAAAGAAGAGAGTAACAGGCAGAGAGAAAGAAAGGGATATGGAGGGAGAGAGAGAAATAGAGATAGAGAGAGGGAAAGAGATACATAGACAAAAAAGAGAGTAATACGCAGAGAGAGAGAGAAATACATAGAGATAGACATAGATACATATTAAGAAACAGAAAACAAACTGAACTAACATATGTTTTGCGTTTTGTTGTCGTGTTGTGTTGCAGTGTGCGACGGCATAGGCACGGGCAGCCTGCACGCCAATCAAACCGTCGACGCCAGCAACATCCACAAGTTCGTCAACTGCACCAAGATCAACGGGAACCTCATCTTCCTCATCACGGGGATTAAAGGGTAAGTGACAGACGAGGGCCAACGTTTAAAGCTACTTAAACATTCAAGAAAACAAAAACAAAACAAACAAAAAAAAGCTGTTTGTTTGGGTCTGTTGGTGTTGTCGGCAGGATACTTAAATTGTGAAGTATTGTAATGCAGAAAAGAACTCAAATGTGTAAGTTACAATTAAAAGTCACAAACCTTCGCAACCCAAAGTCAATGGACATGATTCGTAAGGCTACGTTTATATGACGACGGTCTGAACAGAAGACTCAAAAGTGGCATCGCATCTTCACTTTTTATTCTGTGTTTTGATGAGCATTTTCGAGAGGAAATCTGCGTACATACGGTGATGCAAAAGTGTGTAGAATTTGATTGGGTAAGTATGCCAGGCGGCACGGTGGTGACGCTAGGTGGTGATGTATGTGACCAGAGTTTTGCGTCGGAAACACTACGGCGGAGCGTATTCAGCTTTTCCACTCTGGAGGGAGGTTTCAGATTTTTGCGTTTTTAAGCTCCAAAAACTCTGTTACCATCTAAACTAAATGAAAGGCACTTCAGATCAAATATTTTATCATTTTTACCTGCAAGCATTCTCATGTAAACAGGACTAAATGACAAAATAAAGGTGGATTTGACCATTATTTAACATTAATAGGGATATTTTATTGAGTGAGTGATCGTGTCTCTGAACGATTAGTATTACTCAAGTTTGAAACAATGAAAAACTGTAATTAAACCGGCAATAAAAGGATCCATAATTATCCTGAAGTGCACTGACCTTTGCTCATTTATCACACCTCTTTTTGGACAACCAAGAAAGCATTTCTCAACTTTAGCTGCAGGAACGCTCGTTCAGGACAGGTGGATAGGATTCGCTGACTCACTAGCGCCCTCATGTGTCAGAACTGTATGTTGCAGATGTACGTGCAGATCGTGACAAGGTGATCCAAAAACATCTCGACCGAGTCTTTGTATACTGGTTGTAGACCTAAGACCATACAGCAAACTACATTTCATTTTTATTTTATTAAAGCCACAGTATGTATTACCATAATGACCATAATTTCCGGACTTTTTCTCACACTTTGAACCCTGCGGTTTATACAAAAATACAGCAAATATATGGTCGGACTATTTCTTTATCATCACAGTGGATGTGTGTGGAGCCTGAGTGCAGAAAGCTCCGCTAAATGATGCTAAATGAATAGGGGTGTAACGATATCCAAGTCTCACGATACAATATCGTCACGTATGAACCTCACGGTACAGTGTTATTAGGTTCTTGGTAACACTTTATAATAACTATGCCTTATTTAGCCTTAATAAAGCATGAACAAAGACTTAATAATGATTCACCTGGTAGTAATTCACGTAATTAGTAACCTTAGTAATTCACGCTTAGACCTGAATTAATTTAGACCTGAATTAGCACTTAACTTGCACTTAATTCACCTCTGCTGTAAATAGTTACTCGTAAGTATTTCTTACTTAATTACTCATGAACTAACCATTTGTGTGTGCATTTGTAAATGTATATTTAAGTACACATTTGAGCATTTATTAATGATTAGTAAACCATGAGAGAATGATTTATTAATAATGCATTATTGTTTCTCTGGAATTTGACCAACCTTAATAAATGCTTAATAAAGCATAATTAGTCTTCACTTTAGAAATGCTCTGGTTTTAGACCTGTTTTAGACCTGGTTTTAGTCCTGGTTTAGTCCTGGTTTAGTCCTATTTTAGTCCTAGTTTAGACCTGGTTTTAGACCTGATTTTAGACCTGGTTTAGAACAGGTTTAGACCTGGTTTAGACCTGGTTTTAGACCTGGTTTAGACCTGGTTTAGACCTGGTTTAGACCTGGTTTTAGACCTGGTTTAGACATGGTTTAGACATGGATTTAGACCTGGTTTAGACCTGGTTTAGACCTGGTTTAGACCTGGTTTAGACCTGGTTTAGACCTGGTTTTAGACCTGGTTTTAGACCTGGTTTTAGACCTGGTTTAGTGTCTGGTAATGAGTGGAATTACCAAAAAAAAAAAAAGGGAATAGCCCAAAATGTGAAAACAGGAAAATACTGCCATGTAATCCATTTATTTCAACAAAGTAACTGTAATCCAGTTACCACTCATTGAATCAGTAACTGTAACCGAATACAATTAGTCATAATTTGTACTCTCCAGTACATGTAATCTGTTACTCCCCAACACTGGTCTTAATGAACCGCGTTAAATTAGGTGAGTGCGCAACTGACGAGAAAAAACGTCTCCTACTTCAGTAGCCGGACATCCACTCATAGGTGATCGATACACCTATCCCCGCCCCCGAGAGAGCACGAAATCTTCTTAAATCCTCCGAGACACTGACATGATACCAGATAGGACGGCGGCTCTTTCTGCAGGAGACATGCCCAGTAGGACGCGAAGTGACGTAATGATAATCGGAAAAAGCATGTACTAAAACGGTGTTAAAATCTTTCGATGTAAATATCTTAAGTTACAACGTGGACATCTGCGGCTTATAAACAAGTCCGGCTTATATATGTACAAATTTGTTTTTCGTTTAGATTTTAATGAAGAAAAAAAAAAGTCACTACTTGAAATTTTTTATATCTTATAACAAAACCAGGAATGTAAAAAACAGAAATAAAATAGCTACATTTTACAGTTTACTTTTTTTTTTCTTATGCATTCTGTGTTGTCATAACATTATAAAACATTTCAATTAATTCAAAGACAAAATACCAATTATTATTCGGAGCCCAGTCACTATACAATATTGCGTTGTATGTATTTCACAGGCGACTTTTGTCACTGCTCCAGACTGCATTGTCATTCCCCATTCAGACCGTTACCATGGCGCATTTTTCTTCGTTAAGCGTCTCTTATTTTATTCATCACCTTATGACTAATTAACATTTAGCGGAAATCTCTACATCGCTCGCTGAATTTGAGCCCTCCATTGATCAGTCCCTCGCTTTTATTCACGCAATCCAGCTCAAGCATTTGCAGATTGAACAGGCTGTTCTTTGGCACCATTGTGGCTCTAAGGACCGTTAAAAAAAAAAAAAAACCCTTGTGATTCAAAAAGGTCAGAGGCAGCGAAATGTTCCACTATGAGAAATGTTTTTAAGGTTATGGGGGGGGAATGAAAATGGAAAATGTGGCTGAATATGAACAATATTTTTCATTTTTGGGTGCAGGCAAAATTTGACTTAAATAAATAAATTGATTGTTTCTAAGGTTACAGTTACGGTAATAATGAAATAATAATAATGATAAAAACCGAAAAAAAATTGTAAAATAATTTGTAAAATTATTGTAAAATTGCTATGAAGAACATATATATTTCATGCTGAGATTTTGGGTTACAGGCTAAATTTTCCATTATGAAAAAAAAAAGTTTCTAAGGTTATAGTTACGGCAATAATAAAATAATAATAATAAAAAAAAAAAAAACTGTAAAATTTTTCACGCTGAGTGGTTGGGGTTAAAGGCACAATTTTCCATTCTGAAAAAAAAATAAAAATAAATAAATAAATAAAAAAAAACTTGTGATTCAAAAAGGTCAGCGGTCAGGTTTTCCCATAAAAGGTTATGGGGAGAAAAAAAAAAAAAAAAAGAATAAAAATGGAAAATGTTGCTATGAACAATTTGTAGTTTTCATACAGGCAAAATTTGACATAAATAAATTAATTGTTACAGTTAAAGGTTACAGTTATGGTAATACTGAAATAATAATAATTAAAAAATACTGTAAAATTATATATATATATATATATATATATATATATATATATATATATATATATATATATATATATATATATATTAAAAGTACTGTAAAAAATACTGTAAAATATTTTTCATGCTGACATTTTGGTTTACAGGCAAAATTTTCCATAATGAAAAAAAAAAGTTTCTAAGGTTATAGTTACGGCAATAATTAAATAATAACAAATTATTATAAGCAGCAGTTTTATAATTATTAATTATAATTTCTCATGCTGAGAGTTTGGGTTAAAGGTACAAAAAAAAAAAAAAAAAAAAAAAAATGCGTCGCAAAGTAATTCACCACCACAGCGCTAGAAGGTTACAGTTTAAAAATGGTGTTTGTGTTTACAAAATGAAGCGGGAAAGTGGAGTACCAGAAATGTCTGTAGAGCGGACGTAGAGACGACCAATCACAGCCCGAGTTACAAAATTTCAGAGGTGCACATTGGTCGACGCAAATGCTTTTCGGAGGGGGTTCACGACGACGGAGACTCTCTGCGTCATGATGCAGACGATTTGATGAAAGACCATATGATCATGAATGTGGGTTTATGGTAATAATAAAATAATAATCATAAAAAAAAATTTGTAATGCAGAATTGAAAAGTAAAACGTTGCAATGGACGACTTAGAATTTTCAGGGGAGAAGATGAATTAGGGTTAGATAGAGGGAGCAAAAAGAATAGAGAAAAACGATTAAGAGAAAAAAAGAGAGATAAAGAGAATGAAAGTTAAAGTGAGAGAGAAAATGAGGGAGTAGAAGATGAAGAGAAAGTGTTAAATCAAGAAAAAGGGAGAGAGAAAGACAAAAAATAATAAGTTAAATGTTCTGCTATGAAAAAAGAAAAGAAATGTCATGTTTCTAACGTTACGGTAAAACAAAAAAAAAACAACAAAAAACCATTAACATAATTGATAAGTTTCACTTTCATTTTTGATGCCCTGAGTCCTCCGTTCCCTTTGCTCTCCACTCTAAGTCACTCCCCTTTCAGAGCGTTATCCTAGAGAAATACATTATGGTAGGAAAGGTACTGGTTAAAAAAAAATAAAAGAGAGAGATCGCATGATTGAGGCTCCGTACACAAAAAATAAATAAAGAAACAAAAGGACATACGTTGCTCTGAAGGACGTATATTTTTCATCCCCGAGTGGGAGATGGTGCGGGGGTGTCAGGGTCGCCCGTAGATATGATCGAGGTATAAAAAAAACAAACAAACATGTCCGGACGTTGTGTTTTATTTCTTTTATTTATATATTTATTTGTGTGTGTGTGTGGACAGGGACATGTATCACGGCATCGGACCCATGGACCCCGAGCGTCTGAACGTGTTTCGCACTGTCAAAGAGATCACAGGTGAGGAGGGGGCTCTGCGGGGGTCACCTTGGAAGGGTGGGGGGTGTTGAATATTATGGTCTGTGTGCATTCATGTGGATTCTATAAGATACTGAATGAATTTCTGTAAAACCGAGTTGAAATAATGATGTATTATGAGTGACATTTCAAAAGAAAATTTAATTTAAAAAAGCAAAACGTAACAAAAGTTTTAGAGTGAAAACGCTTGTTCTTCGGTTCTTGTCAAGTGCTGGATAGACAGACACAAAGATAGAAAAATAGATAGAAAGACAGATAAATAGATAGATAGATAAATAGATAGATGGATAAATAGATAGATGGATAGATAGACAGACGGACGGGCAGATAGACAGACGGGCAGATAGACGGATGGACAGATAGACAGACGGGCAGATAGACTTCAGGTAGTGATTACACACAGGCTGGTCAGGAGTCAGGACTAAATCAGGACTACACCAGGACTACACCAAGACTAAACCACATCTAAACAAGGTCTAGATTTGGACTTAAGAGAGAAAGAACTCTGAGCCCGCGGAGCAAAGTGCCTGCGAGCTCGGGGCACGGAGGTCTGAGCCAGTCACCCGACAGTCTACGACAGCGCACTCCGACCCCATCTCGACAGTGAGTCCTGGTTCAGTCCTAGGTTAGTTCTGGTTTAGTCCTGGTTTAGTCCTGGTTCAGACCATGTGCGGTGCAAAAAGTGTGGCATCTCGACCAGTGTTTCTTCTGCTCAGTAAATAACGCCTGTGAAGTGATGACAGTTGCGTTGCGTCTATGAATTTGTAGTCGTACTGAGGAAAACATAACCATTTCATTTTGTGATTGTAATTCTTGAAGTCGTAACTTTCAGTTCGTATTCTGATGGTTGCTTCAGTTAGAATGCTTTTAATTTGTGTGTTATTTATCACAGGCACGGGCAGTAACAGTTGAAGTGTTAACGGGTCAGGGCGGGTGCGGGTTTAACTTTGAAATAATCACGAGCTAACGGGCAGGTGCTGTGCTGTACTGCGTAGGTACGGGCGGGTGCGGGTCTCCAAAAATAGACCCGTACAGGACTCTGCTCCAGGTTTGGGGGCCCTAAGCAGCCACCTACTTTTGCCTAATGGTAGCGTCGCCTCTGCCTTTAATCTACCTTTAGTTCAATTAGTTCAATGTAGTTCATCCAAATGATTCTAGTGAAGGTGTTTGTAGTGTAAAAACGCAGTGGAGCACTTCCTGTATTACCACATGACATCACAATGTAGAACAGTGTTTTCCGTTGGAGAGAAGAACTCAGCGTAAATATGCAGGGTTTGTGTGCTACGAAACAAAACACAACTCCAGGTCTGTTGGTGATGAGGAAACAACGTTATAACACAGATCAGAAAGTAGCGTCATATGGACCCTTTAATGTTCTCCCCATGACCTTATGGCCTAGTATATATGGAGTATGATAAAATATAATTATATGTACTCGTAAAGCACTTATGGTACGTCTTGATCTCCACACTTAATGCATAATTTAGTCTTGCTAGTTCAAATGACCCGAACGACGCTGAACTTTTTACTTGGAAGTCGTCTTTTGTACGACGCGCGAAAGTGTAAAAAAAGATACATATAAAAAGCTCGAGTATCGTCGCCTCTCACCTCCGCTCCCGTATTTATTCATTTTCTATCACAGCCCCCGAGAGACGACGCGCGGCGCTTCCTCTCGTCTTAAAGTGCAAGCCTCCGCGTAGCCAAACGAGCTAATGGAGCGCGACTGCATTCTCATAATGAAAACCCAAGCAATAAGCAAGAGCAATGACCGTTCTAGCCCCCGCCGAATCCGCGTCGCCGTCCCCTTTAATGCCTCCTCTCACAGATGCTCGCGAGACACAATCCGTCATTAAAGGCGAGGGCGAGCGGACAAATTGAGCCGCGCATTAAACCCGTTCTTTTAATTAGCGTTATATTGTCATCGCACAAAGAATCGCTTGAAGTTCACTGGAATCGGAGCTATTAAAAGAAGAGCAAAATGTATACTTCTACTTTTTAATCGCTCCACGCACAAAAAGGCTTAATTACGTCCCAGTTGAATAGAATGCTAATTAAGGCATCTTCCATAATGTGTTTGCAGGTTACCTCAATATCCAGGCCTGGCCGGAGAATATGACAGATTTGGGGGTGTTCTCCAACCTGGCAACCATCGGAGGGAGGTCGCTCTACAGGTATGGCAACGAAACTTGTATGTAGTTTTAAGAATTGTGGTATTTTCAAAGTGAACAAAGCAGCATTGGTGATTGGGTCGGACAAAAAAAGACAAGGAACACAAAAAAACTAAAAGTATGGGATGAAAATTGTCATTGTCATACTTATATCCAATAGGAAGTAAAAATGGATGTGTTTTCAGCTCCATCGACCCTGATGTTTTGGTCTTAAAATGTTTGTATTAACCCGCTCTACATGATGCTGGTGTTTTTATTTCACCGGAGTGGTTGTTGTTGTGCGTAAATCAATTTCTATTTCTAACGCGTAACTCGGCTCTAAATTTACTTAAATAACTGCAGGCCTACTACTACTACTACTACTACTACTACTACTACTACTACTACTACTACTACTACTACTGCTACTGCTACTGCTGCTACTGCTGCTGCTGCTGCTGCTGCTGCTGCTGCTGCTACTGCTACTACTACTACTACTGCTACTGCTGCTACTACTACTACTGCTGCTGCTACTACTGCTACTGCTACTGCTGCTGCTGCTGCTGCTACTGCTGCTGCTGCTACTACTACTACTACTACTACTACTACTACTGCTACTGCTGCTACTACTGCTACTACTACTACTGCTGCTGCTACTACTGCTACTACTACTGCTGCTGCTGCCACTACTACTGCTACTACTACTACTACTGCTGCTGCCACTACTACTACTGCTGCTACTGCTGCTACTGCTGCTGCTACTGCTGCATCTACTACTACTACTACTACTACTGCTACTAGTGCTGCTACTACTACTGCTACTACTAGTAGTACAACCAGTACTAGTACTACTACTGCTGATGCTACTACTAGTGGTACTAGTACTACTACTACTTCTATTGCTACTGCTACTACTACCACTACCATACTACTGCTTCTGTTGCAACTCCAACTACCACTACTACTACTACAACTGCAACTACAACAACTACTACTAATGCTACTACTAATGCCACTACTGCTGCTGCTGCTGCTACTACTAGTACTACTACTACTAGTACTACAGCTACTACTACCGTTGCTGCTGCAGCACAAATTGACCAGAAAGCTCAAAATTTAGTTTGTTGGCACTCACATTGCCAAAAAATGGACTAGAAACAGTAGAAAATGCTATTAAAACACCTTCTATACAGTTTAGTAGGGTAAAAAAAGAAGAAGTAGTAGAAAAAAAGATTTAAATTTAGTGTTTAGTTCTGTTTTAAAACACCTGTAAGCAGATACAAACGGGCGATAATCATACTAACCTCCCAGACAAAGAAATAACATCTCCATGGAAACATCGGCTTCTAAAAACACAATCTACAACTAAAAACTTTTACATTTCCAAACATTTTCAAATTCCAATTTACTCCGATTTCCCTTGCTACCTTTCTCCATTCCCATGCCCTCGCGGCTCGCATCTCCGCAGAATTACCCAGTCAGACAGTTAGCATCTTTTAGCCTTCATCAGCATATTCTTTGCTCGCACTACAAAGCTGTTCCCTGACTGAATTCCGGTCGTGCCCCGAATCGTGTTTTCTCATCTTTGTTTCCCGACGCAACAAGGTACATTTTGCATCTTTGCGCGCGCATTACCGGCCCGGCTAGCTGTGTTCCGCGCGGCTAGCCTCAGATGCTTACAGTTGTGGGCTAATGAGCGGCCGCTGTGTTGTTGGCGGATTTCACATGGACTTTTGATGCTCTACGCCGAAGCTTTGATTAGGCTTGCATGGTTTGATAGCTTTTTTTTTTTTTTTTTTTTCTTCAAGTTGTAGCGAGACAGTGGAGATCAGCAGTCTTCCCATTCAAAAGCCGAGCGTCCTTGGCGTCTGTCTCTGATCTTACTGCGACTTATGTAATGGCGGTCTGAGCGTTTTATCTTGCGCCGTTACGCCCCCTGCCTGTGTGTTGGGGGATATTTTCAGCGCGCTTTGAAATACGCGTTCGACGGGGCAATTCTCAGATGAGGAAGGAGAGAAGAGAAAAGGTAAAAGTACATCAATACATACGTTAAAAGTGCATTGTGGAACTTTTCTTGTCCGTCGGATGATTTTCTCCGTGGAGGTGTTATTGCTTTGTCTGGAATGTTTCACAGTATGGCTTTAATTATTAAACCTTTCTACCATCATGGAGACCAAACCAGACCAAGTTATAGGTCAGATCTGTGGAGAGGCGACCCCGCTCACAGTCAGAATGTTTGTTTTTTTAGGTATTTTTGAGCTCTAAAATCACTTGTAATTGAATAAATGTAAAGTAGAGCTATTTAATGTCACACTGTGGGACATTCCAGAAAGAACAATGACGTCTCCATAGAAACAAGCAGACTAAAATGTATTATACATTGAATTGTTATAATAAGTGCCATATGTGTGTCAGTACATTTTGACTTCCCAAAAAGTAATTCATTATTCTTAAAGACATTAGATATTATGCAAAATTGACTTTTTGGAACGTTCTACCATGTTATAACATTGCTTCCTCATCAAAAACATGTCTAAAGAGGTTTTAGATGTCATCCATGCATGTTTGAGTAATTTAGTGATCTATTATCACTTATTCTTGTCTAATTTTTGGGGTAAAGTGTTACACAGTGGGGGTTTAAAGTAGCCAGGCTGGTGCTATCTAGTGCCTCGACTCAATTTAATTTCTCTACAGTGACTAGATCAGGAATCAGAATACACTAGACTAGATCTAGAAGTGCAAGTTTGGGCACCAGACAATCAGCGAAGAGTCAAACATTCAGTGTTGGCAACGATTCCAGAGATCAAGGAATTAAAGCTGGAACAAAGAGAATATTTGGTGAAATTTATCAAGAGGAAAGACGTTATTGCCCTTCTTCCTACAAGATTTGGAGCATTACATACGTCACGACCAAATAACAGCAATTAGTTACATTAAAAAGTACCCGCCTACCGTCAAGCGAACGACTCCTAATGCCGCGAGGTCAGACGGTTTCTACGAAGTGAAACCATCTGATGAATCAGACTAGCTTTAAAGGTTCTATATTTTACAAAAAAATACTCTTGTGAGCTTTAAGCCATGTTAGAATGCCGTTACCTCCTCAAAAACATGCCTGGAGTTTTGTGTGTGTGTGTTTTTTTTCACACATGTTTGAGTAAGACTTTCTGTCTACATCTCATAAATTCTTCATTCCACCTTGTGATGTCATGAAGTGGTATTTCTCAAATTAACAGCTACCTTTTAAATTTTGTTCAGTTGAGATTGGCAGTTCCAGGTCTGAAGTTATCCAAATGCATCGAGTGAAAGTGTTTGGAGTTTAAAAACACCGTAGAGCACTTCCTTTATTACCACCTGACATCACAAGGTGGAACAGGGTGTTTTCTGTGTCAGAGAAGAACTCAGTTTAAATGTGCAGGGTTTGTGCGTTAAACATGTGTGAATGAAACAAAACACAACTCCAAGTCTGTTTGTGATGAGGAAAGTACATTAGAACATACTGTAGATCAGAAAAACAGCCCTCATATTGACCCTTTTGTTCCCTTTTGTCCTAGTGGTAGCGGGATTTCTCTGCTGATCCTGAAGCAGAGGTGGATCTCGTCTCTTCAGTTCCAGTCTCTGTCGGAGATCAGCGCGGGGAACGTGTACATCTTCAACAACAGCCGCCTGTGCTTCTACAACACCGTGAACTGGACCAGCCTCTTCAGGACCCCCAGCCAGAAGGTCCTACTGCGCAACAACAGGGACCCCCAGGAGTGCTGTGAGTATCAGACGCACTTACAAGCAGTCAAAGGATTGCACACACCCTCTAAGTATTTTTATTTTTATTTTTAAATGTTTTGTACCTTCTACATTTTAGATACACAAAGGAGACATCCAGTATACCGTATTTTTCGGACTATAAGTTGCACCAGCCAAAAAATGCATAATGAAGAAGAAAACATGTACATATAGTCACTTTTTGGGGGACCAGGAATCAACATTTCCTGTTGAAAGTCAAGTTCTAGTAAAAACAATAGAACAGTTTACTATAGTATAAACGAGAATACTTCAGGTAACTATAGTATAAACAACAATACTTCAGGTAACTACAGTATAAACGAGAATACTTCAGGTAACTATAGTATAAACGAGAATACTTCAGGTAACTATAGTATAAACAACAATACTTCAGGTAACTATAGTATAAACGAGAATACTTCAGGTAACTACAGTATAAACGAGAATACTTCAGGTAACTATAGTATAAACAACAATACTTCAGGTAACTATAGTATAAACAACAATACTTCAGGTAACTATAGTATAAACAACAATACTTCAGGTAACTATAGTATAAACGAGAATACTTCAGGTAACTATAGTATAAACAACAATACTTCAGGTAACTATAGTATAAACGAGAATACTTCAGGTAACTATAGTATAAACTACTTCAGTAACTAAGTAATAAACTACTTCAGGTAACTATAGTATAAACAGAATACTTCAGTAACTAGTATAAACTTCAGGTAACTATAGTATAAACGACAATACTTCAGGTAACTATAGTATAAACGAGAATACTTCAGGTAACTATAGTATAAACGACAATACTTCAGGTAACTATAGTATAAACGACAATACTTCAGGTAACTATAGTATAAACGACAATACTTCAGGTAACTGTAGTATAAACAACAATACTTCAGACAACTATAACATAAACAACAGAAAAGAACAAGTTTAACAAACTCTCCATCTCACTCCAAATCACTAAATCCATTCAATTCTTCATCCTCGGTGTCACTTCTGAGCAACTCGGCCTCGACCTCCGGAGGTAAACGTAGCGCCGCTTCCTCTTCTGTGTCGCTGTCGTCAGACTCAGCATCAGTTCCAGTTAGAATTATTCCGGCCTTTCTGAATCCCGACAGGATGGTTTTGATGTAATTGAAGACACTTAAATGTTAATTGTTCAGTGGTACAGAAGTAATACTGCGATCGACTGACATGATACAGACAGGACAGATGCTCTTTCTGCAGGAGACATGTGCAGTAGAGTGAAGTGACAGTGATACAGGAGTAATAGTAGCAGACAAGCCTAGAGCGCCCTCCTGTGGCTGTCAGTGTGAAAACTTAACTTAATATATAAGTCACACTAAGTCGAATATAAGTCGCAGGACCACCCAAACCATGAATAAAGTGTGACTTACAGTCCAAAATTATGGCACTACTTTATACTACTTTATAAAAAAAATTTAATCAAATATTCTATACTAAAGCAGTCACTTAAAGTTTGAGTCTTTAAACTTTAATAGCTTATTTTATCGCTTATTGCCGTATTGCTGTTCAACTCCTGTTCTCACCACCACCAGTACACGCCTACTGTTCTGTACGTACTTCGTTGTCCAGTTTTACTTGCTTAATCTGTGATACACGTAGGATTCGGCAGAGTCTCGCAGTGATTTTTGTACAAATTAAAAGTAATCCTCTACTAGTGTTATGTGCAGTTATCCATAGGAGGTGCTGATGTTCCAATTGCGCACCACAGTTTTTTAACATGGAAATCAGCAAAAAACTATTTCTTTTTATGCTTTTAGATGAACATTACAATTTGAAATGGGTTAATGTGTTAAACATGTGTGAATGAAACGAAGCACAACCCCAGGTATGTTCGTGGTGAGGTTTAAGGCGACGTCAGCTCCAGTTTTCGAACGCGGAAATCAGCAAACTTGTTTCTTTTACGCTTTTAGATGAATATTACATTTTAAATGTGCAAATTACAACACAGTGATCCATAGATTATAACTATACAACAGACACTACCGCAATAAGTCTGCTTTAAAGTCTTCGAAGTATCCACCCTTTGCTTAGTCAACTTTTTATTTGAGATATTTTAAGTAGTTTTTTTTCGTTTTGCTACCTTCCGTTTGTGTAATTCAGAGTTTTGATGCCGTCAGTGAGAATGTACTCTACAAAAAAGAGGGACATCAATGAAAACGAGTGCCAAAACTTTGGACCGGCCGCGCAGTTATAGATCGTATTTGAAAAGCTGAAGTAATCAAAAGTACTTCAGAGTATATCTTATAGGACCTTTAAGTGTGTATCCCAAGCGCCCACCTGCCATATGCTAAAACGAAAACTCTTTAATTGAAACTCAGATCTCCGAGTGCGCTCAGACGGGTGTCAGCAGATGCGTACCTTTTTGGATTTCGCCCAAAGCAAAATATCCATCACTTTACGACTGGCATACATTTGTGCGTCTGCGCTCAACTTCCTGATTTATGTTCGAAGCTTTGGTAGGATGAGGTGTACTAATAGAAAATAACAGATGCCACGCAGAATTTAAGGCTTTGGTAAACACTTATTTTGCTTGTGGGAGAGATTTTCAAATAACTTAAATAGGGGATACTGTCTTTCAAGTTGGATTTTTAAAAAGTGAACATAACCAATTCGCCCAGGACACTTTGGACATGACACAGGTCTATGAGGCTACGTTCAGACAGCAGGGCTTAATGCTCTATTAGGCCGTTCACATTTCCAATTAAATGCGACTTGTTTGTGATCTCCAGTGTGAACTTTAAATGCCCCAAAAGTGTCCCGCATGCACATTGGAGGACACAACACCCTCACAGCGAGCGTACTCGGTGTTTACGGAAGTCGCCTAAATGCTGGGCTTGTCTCCCAAAATATGGTCCAGTTTTTCGTAAAATGGCCAGGTTACACGTCTACAGTCGCTTCGTTTGTTTGAGTCTTTAGCCTCCTTGTATTTGGCTCTCAGGCTCTTTATTTTTCGTTGACGTTGGAGCCAGGACCGTCTGTAGCCACGCTCGGACATTTCTTTAGAAATCATTTCAAGCACGGCCTGGTTCCGATAAGACCCTCCAATTTGGCTTGAATACAGTGATCCCAACAAATATTAATGGTCTCGCTAACCTCGCTTTCCCTCCAAAGATGAGACTCTGAGCCTGACGTGTAAGTGGGATGAATGTGATCTGGCCGTTCAGACTGAAGTCTCAGGTCAAAAGGTCGGATATGTTTTGGTTTTAGGAGCACATATCCAGTGCCTGAGTCGCATTTTAATAAATCAGATCTGTCATTAAAAGATCAGATATAGGAACATAGGGGTGAAAAAATTGGATTTGGGTCACTTCAGGCTGCAGTCTAAACGTAGCCTAAAGGCAGTCCAGTGTCAAATCATCTGCATCACAACGCAGAGAGTCTGTGAAACCCTTACGCCAAGTGTCTGCGTCAATCAACCACCTCTGAAATTTTCTAACTACACGTCGAAACAACGTGGGGGGAAGAGAAGCAGTCAGTAAGGGCTGTGATTGGTCCTCTTTACCACCGCTCTACAGACATTTCGTGTACTCTCATGTACTTTCTTTTCTTTGCATATTTGTTTATGTTTTACAGAAACGAAACTTAAAACCACATAGCTCATTTGCATAAACTATAAGTGCTGATAAAAACAGCTCGCTCCCTGTGTTGATGCGGTTCAGCCAGAGGGGTGTTCTGCTGATG